GAGTCAAGAACCAATCAAATTTTGTGAAGACAAGTGACCTGAGAGCGCGATTCGCAACGCTGCGATCGCTATCGCGTCCCGTGTGTCAGGTTTCACCCTGGCTGCGATGACAGCCGCTAATCGCTGTAGTTTGTCGCTCCCCGTGTGTCGAGCCCTTAAGGTGACATAGATACTTTATAATGGTGTAGTATTTAAATGTATGCCTGAGAAACACATAATGTTGGCCCTTTTAAGCTTTCATTTTGTGCAATAAATTTAGAAATATTTAAAAATGAAAGACATGTTTTTTTACAGGTTTTTTACACTTCATTTTATGTTTTCTTTCTTAAGGACCCTAGGTTGATCAAACTGCCATTCATTATTTAAAAAAAACCCTGAGCAGCACAGCATGTTTTCCATTAATTTTGACTCTGGTGTAATTATAGACATGAGTTTAAATTCAGGAAACGCATGGAGAAAATCCCAGCTGAGAACTTCACTGAGGGACACTTGAAGCTCTCTTAGGGTGTTTTCACACCTGATGGTCCGGTGGACTCTGTAAATAAATATTGCAGTTTTGGTCTCCAATAAAACCGTTTCATCTGGTGCAGTTCACATTCACATTGCAACTTGTCAAACAAACTAAACCCTGTGAACCACCTGCCCCCATGAAGGGTCACGAAGTCCAAAAAGACACGTTTCCTGTCGTTGGTTCGGTTCAAAGCTGGTCTGTATTCACACCAGAAGCGAACCGCAACACACTTCATTTGAAAGTGGACCGAGACCACCTCAAAAAGTGGGTATCGATCCGGTTGTTTAGTCCAGTGGGGGAAACGAACTCTGGTCCGTTTTAAAGCGGATCAAATGTGTCTGGTGTGAATACACCCTTAAGAATATATCGTCTGAAGCCTACAGTTGTGGTCTCAGCTGTCTAAAAAGAAATAGAATGATATTTAAACAAGACTGTAAAAGGGAGATTAATGTTTATTATTTACACACAGTTTGTTACATTGTCCTACATGATGTCTTCACATTCTGAATTGGGGTCATTTATCGATTTAGTTGATATCAGAAGTATATCACCTGTTGACCGAACCTCCTCTGTGTCTCAGACTGAACGGCTGTTACGAGGCCCTGTCGGGCGGCAGCACGTCGGAAGGCTTCGAGGACTTCACAGGTGGCGTGACGGAGATGTACGACCTGGCAAAAGCCCCCTCCGACCTGTTCAGCATCATCAGCAGAGCCGTGGAGAGGGGCTCGCTGCTCGGCTGCTCCATCGACGTCAGTACTGACACGGTCCATCCTTCTGACACATAAAAAACAAAATGATGCAAAACGGATCAGGAACTGTAAAATATAAACAATACTTTAAAGCAGTTAGGTTCTTCTCTTTACAACAGATGTAGCGTCTTTAGTAACTTGGTTAGATTAGACTTTAGAGCTTTCAGAATCGGGACATAAAGGCATGAAAGAATCAGGAGTTGGACTGACCTGTTCCAAATTGAAACCATTAACTGCAGGTAAAAATATAAATCTAATTGTTGTGAAGGAATCCCCACACATTTATGTTGTCCTTTTAAAAAAAACTTATGTTAACCTGCCGCTTCATTTTAATTGTAAAATTTAAAACCTTTAATTTTCAATTCTTTTCAGATCAAGAGCTGATTACCTGTGATGTCAAAAGGCTGCTGTAGGAAGAAGTTCAGGGACTTTGGATTTAGTAGAGAACCTTTTAATGGACAGACGATTTGCTCGTTGGAAGTTGGCAGGAATTCAGTGTGTCAGAGGCTTCTGGTCAGAACGTTTGTTTGCAGACAGGGAGCACTGAACTCCCCGGTGAAGGACGCTTGCTCTAATCTCTGATCTTAGTCTGAGCTGGAAGAAACACCGGTCTTGTAGAAGTTTGAAACTCTTCTCCAGACGTAATGGAAAGAGGAGTTTTTAACATATGCACTGTTTTTTTTTTTGTGTGTGTGTGTGTGTGTGTGCCACAAACAGTTGAATTGAACTGATCATGAAGCGATGTCGGCATCTTGAGCACCACAATAACTGCGTTTATGTTGCAGTACTGATCACGATAGGGCGAGCAGATCGTAACATGAACCACAACATGAAGCACAGTGGTTGTCTCTTACAGATCACCAGTTCTAGAGATATGGAGGCCGTCACGTTTAAGAAGCTGGTGAAGGGACACGCCTACTCTGTGACGGGTGTGGACAAGGTGAGCTCTACACAAAGATGTGAAGTCAAATAAAATATAAGACATTTTAAATCATACATTTAAACCCACTGGCTAATTGCACATTGTTCATGTAGGGGAAATGCTTGAACTGAATTAAAAACTACAAAATGTGCCAAAACATACTAAGTTGATCTTAAACATAGAAAACAGACAAGCTTAGCTTTGTTTAAACATTTGAGTTAATAAATGATAATGAAGACATTATTCTCTGTGAGCCTGTCCTTTTTTTGTCTTCAAGTTAACAAAAACAGCTGTAGATTTGACTTTTTTATTGTGTTAGTGAAGGACATCCTTTATGTTGGTCTACAGTTTGGGTTAGCTTTCATGTTGTTAAAAAGAACTACAAAAATATTTTCTGTGAAAATGCAACATTCAGAGAGCTGAATGCCTGTGCTGAAATTCTCAAAAGAAGCTGAAACTGAGCTCTTAAGCTAAAAGAAGCAGAAGAGTAGCTAAAAAAGAAATCTAGCAGAACAGTTAATAAAAACCARATGCTGCGAAGTGCAAGCTAAAWGCTAAAATTATAAAACGCTCCTTTWAAAAAGTAGCAAAGCACACTCTAAAAGCTAAATACAGCAAAATGTTTACTAAAAAAAGRGCAAAAAGCCTAGCCTATAGCTAAAGGTATGAAAACTGTAGCTAAAAGTAGCACAAGAAGGCAAAAATGGAGCAAAACAGTAGCTAAAAACCAGAAATAGCAAAGCTCTGGCTTAACTTCCTAGGACCTGGCACCAGATACTGTACATGGACAAAAATGCATGCAATGCAAGAGTTTAGGTCTTAGGAGGTTAAAGCTGAAAGTAGATAGTGTCTCGAAGCACGCTCTAAGCTAAATATAGCAAAACGGTTACTAAAAATGTAGCAAAAAGTCTGTCTCAAAGCTAAAAGTAGTACAAGAAGGCAAAAATGGAGAAAAACATTAGCTAAAAGTAACATTAGCAAAGGACTAAACATAGAAAGTCTTTAAAAATATCAAAGCACACTCTAAAAGCATAACGCTTACTAAAAAGTAACAAAGTCTAGCACCAAAGCCAAAAGTAGTTAACTAATGTTTACATTTTTTTTGGTACTACACATGTGGCTGTTTGTCTSCAGGTGGATTACAGAGGAACTCCGACAAAGCTGGTTCGCATCAGGAACCCATGGGGTGAGGTGGAATGGACCGGTTCCTGGAGCGATGAGTAAGATTATCTGCTGTTTGGTTTATTAGTAGATTATAACTTAAAAACAATAGTTCATAGCATCTCTGTTGTGGCTGACTGACTTTAAAGGGATATTTTGTACATTTTGAAATGGGGTGTCTTGGAGATTTATTGAGACTTTAATATCTTGACATGATTAAAATGACTTAGTGGGTACATTAAAGGGATCCCTGATTAGTTGTAACATTAGACTTTATTTAATAAACATATTTTAACTGTAAAACGAAGACTGTAAAAATACTGTAGGATGTTCAGGTTTATTTTTAAACTAACAGTTTAGAAATATAT